GGCAGGGGTCTCTTTCCTCCACCTCTTCCAGGTATTTGCTCCAACGTTACCTGAATTCCTTTGTCGTCCTCCCCTGACCTCCCCAGCTTTATGGAGGTATAATTGGTGTACAAAAACTGCATATAGTCCGGGCACGGTGGCTCACGCCTGTAATCCTAGCACTTTGGGAGGCCGAGATGGGTGGATTGCCTGAGCTCAGTAGTTCGCCACTAGCCAGGGCAACATGGTGAAGCCCCGTCTCTACAAAAATACAAAAAAAAAATCAGCCGGGGGTAATGGTGAACGCCTGTAATTCCAGCTACGAGGGAGGCTGAGGCACAAGAATTGCTTGAACCCGGGAGGCGGGGGCTGCAGTGAGCCGAGCCCGTTCCACTGCACTCCAGCCTGGGCAACAAAGTGAAACTCTCTCAAAAACAAAAAACAAAAAACCCCACAAAAAACTCCCTGCATATGACTAATAAATATATACATATTTGGTGAATGTTTGGACAGATACACACACTCATGTTACCATCACCACACTCAGGAAAGTGAACATATCCATTACCTCCAACAGTTTCCTTGTGTACATTTGTCCTGTTTTTTTTTTGTTTTTTTTTTGTTTTTGAGATGGAGTTTTCTTTTGTTGCCCAGGCTGGAGTACAATGGCGCAATCTCGGCTCACCGCAACCTCTGCCTCCAATATTCAAGCGATTCTCCTGCCTGAGCCCCTCTAGTAGCTGGGATTACAGGTGCTCGCCACCGAACCCGGCTAATTTTGTTTTTTTAGTAGAGACCATATTGGTCAGGCTGGCCTCAAACTCCCGACCTCAGGTGATCCGCCCGCCTTGGCCTCCCAGAGTGCTGGGATTACAGGCGTGAGCCACTGCACCCGGCCCTTTTTCTTTTCTTTCTTTGTTTCTTTTTGTTGAGACGGAGTCTCCCTCTCTCTCCCAGGCTGGAGTGCAGTGGCGACATCTCGGCTCACTGCAAGCTCCGCCTCCCGGGTTCACGCCATTCTCCCGCCTCAGCCTCCCGAGTAGCTGGGACTACAGGCACAGCCACCTCGCCCGGCTAGTTTTTTGCATTTTTAGTAGAGACGGGGTTTCACCATGTTAGCCAGGATGGTCTTGATCTCCTGCCCTCGTGATCCGCCCGCCTTGGCCTCCCAAAGTGCTGGGATTACAGGCGTGAGCCACAGCGCCCGGGTTTTTTTTTTTTTTTGAGACGAAGTTTTGCTTTGTCCCCCAGGCTGGAGTTCAGTGTTCAGTGGCTCTATCTCAGCTCACTGCAACCTCCGCCTGTCAGGTTCAAGTGATTCTCCTACCTCAGGCTCCTGAGTAGCTGGGATTACAGGCGACCACCACCACGCCTGGCTAATTTTTGTGTTTGTAGTAGAGATGGGGTTTCAACATGTATGTTGGCCAGGCTGGTCTTGAACTCCTGACCTCAGCCTCCCAAAGTGCTGGGATTACAGTGTGAGCCACCACTCCGGCCTTTTCTTTTTTCTTTTTTTTTTTTTTTTTTTTTTGAGACGGAGTCTCGCTCTGTCACCCAGGCTGAAGTGCGGTGGCCGGATCTCAGCTCACTGCAAGCTCCGCCTCCCGGGTTCACGCCATTCTCCTGCCTCAGCCTCCCGAGTAGCTGGGACTATAGGCGCCCGCCACCTCGCCCGGCTAGTTTTTTGTATTTTTTAGTAGAGACGGGGTTTCACCGTGTTAGCCAGGATGGTCTCGATCTCCTGACCTCGTGATCCGCCCGTCTCGGCCTCCCAAAGTGCTGGGATTACAGGCGTGAGCCACCGCGCCCGCCCGGCCTTTTCTTTTCTTTTTTTTTTTTTTTGGTCGGAGGTGGATAAGAACATTTAACATAAGATCTTAACAAGTTTTTCTTTTTCTTTTCTTTCTTTTTTTTTTTTTTTTTGAGACAGGGTCTCCCTCTGTTGTCCAGGTTAGTAGTGTGCAGTGGTACAATCACGGCTCACTTCAGCCTTGACTGCCTGGGGTCAAGTGATCCCACTACCTCAGCCCCTTGAGTAGCTCGGACTACAGGCGTACCACCACAGCCACCTATTTTTAATTTTTTGTAGAGATGGAGTCTCACTGTCTTGCTCAGGCTGGTTTCGAACTCCTGGCCTCAAGTCATCTTCCCATCTCGGCCTCTCGAAGTGCTGGGATTACAGACATGAGCCACTGCGCCTGGCCAGCAAATTTTAAAATGCAGGATGCTTTGTTAACTGTAGATCTCTGGGACTTCCTCATCTTTATTACTACAAAACGTTTTTGGCTCACGCCTGTAATCCCAGCACTTTGGGAGGCCGAGGCGGGCGGATCACGAGGTCAGGAGATCCAGACCATCCTAGCTAACACGGTGAAACGCCGTCTTTGCTAAAAATGCAAAAAACTTAGCCGGGCGTGGCGGCGGGCGCCTGTAGTCCCAGCTAGTCAGGAGGCGGAGGCAGGAGAATGGCGTGAACCCGGGAGGCGGAGCTTGCAGTGAGCCATCGTGCCACTGCACTCCAGCCTGGGCGACAGAGCGAGACTCCGTCTCAAAAAAAAAAAAAAAAAATGTTTTTGAGAAGGTACTGAAAAAACATTTGCTGAATAAATTGTGTGACAAACTATAGCATTTCCTTTGCTTAAACCTCAAAAACGTAAGTTAGATGTGCAGAGCACCATAACTTTGTAATTACCTCTCACAGATCAATTATTCCCAGGTCATTCTCGAATCATTTTTTGTTATTGAGAATTAATTTGTCTTCTCTCCCCCGCGGTATTCTTGGTAGCCTCTAGGATTTCACAAAGGGGGAATTTAAAGTGTCCTGTAGGTCCTTCAGAGATTCACAGGAAGAGACCTGCACTTTAACCGGTCTCTGTAGAGCAGGACTATCATGACAACATTTTTAAAAAATATAAGCAGCAAAAATGATCAATAAGATATCACCATTTGTACTTTGAAGTGGTAACATAGACTATGGAATGGCGTGTTTCCCCTGTTTGTGAAGAGGATAGTACGACGATGGGTCTTTGAGCAGAAACTGTTTTTCTTTCAAATGTCTAAGGCAGCACAATGTGATGGAAAGCCCATTGGTGTGGGAGTGAGCGTCCCAGCTTCCTGGGCAGTAAAATGAACAGGCCTGATGATCGATCTCCAGGCCCCATCCAGCTCTAAAGGTCTCCAAAACTTTTGGAGATAAAGCCACGGAACTTTCTCGTGAGCATCAAAAGTTGTATTTCATGTTTTATTGCAACTGACTTAATGTTCCAAGAGTGACTGTTAGAGATCTAGTATACGTAGATATGCAAACTTTGTTTTCGTAGTTTAGTGTTTTCCAGTAAACGAAATTTTTCATATCACTAATATTTAAAAGTGTAAATAATATCTAGGACACATAAATTTAAAGAACCATCATAATTGTATTTAACTCTGATTCATTAAGGGATTAATTACCTAGTTTGTGAACGTGTAAGCCCCCTGTAGCTCTCTTCCCATTTTTGAACAAAAATAAAGAAGTTTCAAATTCAAGTTGGTGGCATATTTATAACCTTCAAAGACATTATAACCAAAGGCTAAAATGAGATTCTGGCACTGTTTGGAAGTTTCTATTTTGGGGGCTCGCCTCACCACTTAACTTGAACTGGGGATTATCAGTAGTACCGTACACAGTCCATTAATTTCAAGTCAAATCATTTCACAAATGTTAATATTTCACGTATACATGGCTGCAAGGTATGACAGAATGCTTCATAAAAGCCATTGAAAATAAACTTCAAAAGTAAAATGCATCAATCAGTTAAATCCCATTAGCCTATGGGAGAAATTTCAATATGTATACCTCCAAATTTCAAATTAATAATGGGGCAATATTATTGTGCCACCTAGAGTACCAAACAGTGGGTATAAACCATCTCCTTAGTCAGATGGAACACTGGCTGGACACTGCAGATTATCTGGGGTTTAAGACGTTAACTTCTATCACGAATCTAAATTCTGACTTCCCTGTCTAAAACTTCGGGAACATCACATCTTTTATTTAAAGCGAAAAAGTAAACTTCTAACATACAAAATAACGGATTTCTTTTCAAGAGCGATAGTCCATTTTTTTTTTTTTTTTTTTTTTTTTACAAAATCACTGCCCTTGATTTTTCATGAACTTTAAGTTTCAGAATGATTTGGTCAAGAGTATTTCTACAGGAATAGGAAGAGAATCAAGTGGGCCTATAATCAAAGACCTAGCTGGGTCTCACCCTCATGGTTAACTACTGAGACTTCATAGCCGATGACCAGGTCCTAAAGTGGACAGAACAAGCCTTACTGGAGGTCCGTCTTTGTGGTAGGTACAGAAAACTTGGAAATGCAATTCTGTGGTTTATTTAGGGTTATTAAGAGCATGAGAATAGCCCTGCAAAGGCTGGTAAACTAGGGTTTGCAGTATGGAGTAGTAAGCAAAGCCTCTACTTCCCAGGCCCTGCACCCGGGGTGTGGAACAGACAAAAGAACGGCTCTGCCCTTGCCCTTCTCGAACTTAAAATCCAATTCGCAAAGCAGGACTTACACATATTAAATCAAATACAGCATTATGCTGAAAAGAGCCCCTGCGTGTAACAGTTGCCAATGTGTGTTATACCAGTCAAAACGATTTGAAGGAGTTTTAAACGAAAAGCTGGAGAAACATACAAGAAGGCAGATCTAAGATGGAAGAAAAGGCGGATTCGGGTTGAAATGCCAAGTTGAGGACTGAAGAAAGCATTTGGACAAAGCAGCCTCCAGGCTGGGAAGGCGAAAAGCCAAACGAGTATAGCCACCAAAGACCCAGAAAGGCCAATAGATTGTGCAGTGAGTCGGTTTAACTGAAAGGCGGTTTCCTTTTCCTCCATTTGCTCAGTCCCAATTGGAAGCGCACTGCGCGGCCTGCGCCGCGCTCTCAGCCCGGGTTCGGCGTGGGGGCGGGGAGGTAAGTACGGTAATGGGCGGGGCCGAGCGCGGGCGCGCTCCGGCTTTCCTCCTGCGCAGCGCTCCCGTCAGCGCAGGGGGCGGGGCGCCTATATTACGTGCGCGGCGCCGCCCCTGCGAGAGGACGTTGCGTGCTCGCTCGCGCCAGGCGAGTCTCCGCGTCTCCCTCGCGAACTCGGTGAAAGGAATTGGCGCCGTTCGACACCAGGCGGATCCGCTCTGCAGCACGACCCCATCTCCAGCCGCAGCCGCAGCCGCCGCCCGGGCCGAGGAGCAGCCGCAGCAGCCGCCACCAGTGGCCGAGTGAGCGGAGCCGAGTTTGAGGCAGCGCCTAGCGGTGAATCGGGGCCCTCACCATGAGTTCCTCGCCTGTTAATGTAAAAAAGCTGAAGGTGTCGGAGCTGAAAGAGGAGCTCAAGAAGCGACGCCTTTCTGACAAGGGTCTCAAGGCCGAGCTCATGGAGCGACTCCAGGCCGCGCTGGACGACGAGGAGGCCGGGGGCCGCCCCGCCATGGAGCCCGGGAACGGCAGCCTAGACCTGGGCGGGGATTCCGCCGGGCGCTCGGGAGCAGGCCTCGAGCAGGAGGCCGCGGTCGGCGGCGATGAAGAGGAGGAGGAAGAGGAAGAGGAGGAGGAAGGAATCTCCGCCCTGGACGGCGACCAGATGGAGCTAGGAGAGGAGAACGGGGCCGCGGGGGCGGCCGACTCGGGCCCGATGGAGGAGGAGGAGGCCGCCTCGGAAGACGAGAACGGCGACGATCAGGGTTTCCAGGAAGGGGAAGATGAGCTCGGGGACGAAGAGGAAGGCGCGGGCGACGAGAACGGGCACGGGGAGCAGCAGCCTCAACCGCCGGCGACGCAGCAGCAACAGACCCAACAGCAGCGCGGGGCCGCCAAGGAGGCCGCGGGGAAGAGCAGCGGCCCCACCTCGCTGTTCGCGGTGACGGTGGCGCCGCCCGGGGCGAGGCAGGGCCAGCAGCAGGCGGGAGGTAAGAAGAAGGCGGAAGGCGGCGGAGGCGGCGGTCGCCCCGGGGCTCCGGCGGCGGGTGAGTGCTGCGTTGTACGTTGCGCGCGGCGGGAGGCCCGCGCGGGGTGGGGACCGTGCCCCAGGCCTGCCGGAGCCCCGCAGGGGGAGGGAGCCCCGGGCGGGCGGGGGCCGCGGGGAGGGTGGCGGGTGGGGGAGGGGGCGCGGGGAATCCCAGATTAGCCGAGAGGCCTCGGGCTCGGGGCGTGTGTTCGTGTGTGTGTGTGTGTGTGTGACGGCGGTGGCAGCGCCTCCATTATGTGGCTCGAGAGCCGGGGGGAGCTGCAGCTGCCGCTGGAGGGGGAGGAGCCGCGGGCGGGCGGCGGGAGGGAGCCCGGTCGGCCCGCGGTGGCGCCGTCGCGCTGCGTGCGCGCGGTGCGGGCACATGTCTCGGGGGGAGGGGAGAGGCCCCAGGTCCCGGGGCGGGCGCGCTTTGGCGGCTCCTCGCCGCTGTATTGTGCAAGGAGCGCAGGGGCTCGGCGTGACGTCACTTCCTGCGGGAGGAGCCGGGCGGGGCGGGGCGGGGGGCGGAAGATCAGTACAATGCGGCCGCGGGGAGCGCGGGCCCGCGGGGGAGGGGAGCGCCGCCGCGCCGGGCTCGGCCCCTCCCCCTCCTGCGCCCTGGTCGCGATACACGTGGGCTTCGGGCCTGGGCCGCGCAGTTTTTCTTTGGGTTTCTCGAATCATCGAGGAGACTGGCAAAATTCGTAACGTCTTTAGACTGCGTCACTAGCGCTAATCCAATTCGTAGCTGATTGTTCTTCGAATTCACATTTGAGTCCTCGGTTAAAACCTCGGTTAAAAAGCAGGATAAAGTCGAGCTGCTTTGCTTCTCGGAACGGAAAAGCGCTTTTTTGTTGTTTAGCGGCTTGGCCTCTTATGGGGGTCTTGTGTGTTTTAGGGGACGGCAAAACAGAACAGAAAGGCGGAGATAAAAAGAGGGGTGTTAAAAGACCACGAGAAGATCATGGCCGTGGATATTTTGAGTACATTGAAGAGAACAAGTATAGCAGGTATAGGATGCTCACCTAGTTTTACTTGTCATCCCTTATTCGTCCGTTGATCGGAAAGCTGTATCAGGAGACAATTCTGTCTTTCAGAGCCAAATCTCCTCAGCCACCGGTTGAAGAAGAAGATGAACACTTCGATGACACAGTGGTTTGTCTTGATACTTGTAAGTGAAGCTGTTTCTCCCCAATTATGAAATGCGGTGATGGTTTTTTTTTTTTTTGCTTCCAAAATGTTAGAAAACTTAATGCTTAAGTGCAGCAAAAGTTGGGTTAGTTTTTTTTAAAAGCAGGAAGAGATAATGGTTTATATTCAGAACCTAGTAGTTTAATATTTAGCACGGCATCAGTTGTATCAAATGGATTATTTTACAGGCTCTAGGAGTTTCATATTTTTATGACTTGAAAGTTCTCGTTCTTAGGAAATGTAAAATTAATGCCAGTTTCTGACTAGCTAACGGAAACTTGTAACACTACCTATAATTTAGCCTTACAGGCTTCTACAATAAAGTAATTCATTTTTTTGTGGAATTATATTAAGTGAGCTATTTGGGCTAGTTAAATATTTACTAATGACTTCTCCCATTAGCACACAAGTATATTCCCTATTCTAAAAGATTGTAATATTATTTTTTCAATAACTGCTCTTTTGTTCTCAATTCCAGTTCAGTAGCTGCTGCTTTAAACATAAGTTGATTTCTTCCAAAGACCTGAGGCAGCAGCAGTGGGCTATCACTGGGCCACTAGCTTTCTTCAGCAGCGAATGGTATCAATGGCAGTGCAGCACTGTAAATACTGCTACTTCACCCAGTTGGGTTGCAATTGAGTATGAGAAAGTATTGCAAACCTCTAAGTGGGCTTTGACTGTCAGACTTGCATTTTTTTTGTTGTTGTTATAAAAAAAAAGTAGTTGGTTTAGTGACCAGAATTCACAACTCTGGGTGTGATAAATAGACCAAAGAATAGAAATACCTGTTTGAAAGTATCAGCTGTGGTGTCAGCCTGCTCTGTTAGATGGAGGGCATTGAAGCTTAGCTTCTCATGTTTTCTTGTACAATTTGGTTTTATTCAGATTTGTAAGAGTGTAAATGTAAAACTCTTTCTTACTGGAATGTCCTTTACAGAAGGTTGAGATAGTCATCTGAGCCTTTTTAAAGTAAAAAACTGCAGGTGAAAAAGGAGTTAGTTGATTTGAAAGTTTTATGTGAAATTCTGGGTTGTGTAAATAAAAAGTTGCTAGGAATTGGCAAGGTAGTGAAGTGGTGACTCATGCAGGTAATGTAATTGTTAGATTTTTTAGCAAATCAGATAGGCATATGTCAATATAAACACAATGTTGAATTCAAACAATCTGTTGAATTAAATTCTGATTACAGTAATTCTAATTTAAGAAAAATTCCAAACTGTAGATTTATTTTTCTCTGATCAGTAAAAAAAAAAATTGAATTCCAGCTTGACTTTAGCTGTTGAAGTGAGAAGTCTGAGAAGGTGCATGTTAATGAGCCAGTGACCCATAGGTAGCTAGGTTAAAGACACTTTGGATTTGGATAATCCGGGAAGCAGTTAATCCCTAATTGTTGAACAGGCAGTCCTGGGTAAAGAGGACCTAAAATGCTGCACTATTAACAGCATTAGACGGCCAGGTTTGTACTTCATAGATTTAGGCTGTCTTCTTCACAAGTTTTAGAAGAAGAATTTAGGAGCTAGAGCCCTGGTGCAGGATCAACAGCAGCTCATACTCCTGTTTCAAAATAATTTGGTCGTGGCCTCCCTTCAGTTTTAATGTGGCACTGGTAAATCTACCTGGTTCTGGCATGCTTCACTTTGATTTCCTGCTATCCTCTACTGCTTGCCTCTAAATCAAGGTAAAGAGCAGAGCAGGTATGTATTAATGTCACATTGTCTTGATTATTTTAAATACTTAAAATATACATGTTAAACCTTGGTGTTAGTTTCAGAGGCAGTTTACTTTTCAGTACATAATTTAAAAGGAGTGACTTGGTGGGAGTGGGGCTTTAAACTGAAAATTGGAACAACAGCATGATGTGGAGAAAAGTTGTGCAGCGTTAAGTACATGCAAAAATTAAATAACCAAGTTTTCTCTACATAGCATATATGTTTACATTGGATGTCAAAAGTAACACAGTATTTGATATAATTACAGATAATTGTGATCTACATTTTAAAATATCAAGAGATCGTCTCAGTGCTTCTTCCCTTACAATGGAAAGTTTTGCTTTTCTTTGGGCTGGAGGAAGAGCATCTTATGGTGTGTCAAAAGGCAAAGTGTGTTTTGAGATGAAGGTAAATGCAATTTTATGATGTTTTTGTTTGATTTTGGAGACAGAGTCTCACTCTGTCCCCTAGGCTGGATTGGTGTGGTGTGACCCAGGCTCAACTGCAACCTCCTCGTCCTGGGTTCAAGTGATTCTTCTTGCCTCAGCCTCACAAGTAGCTGGGACTATAGGCACGTGCCACCACACCTGGCTAATTTTTGTATTTTTAATAGAGAACGGGGCTCCTGACCTCAGGTGATCCACCCACCTCGGCCTCCCAAAGTGCTGGGATTACAGGCTTGAGCCACCGCGCCCAGCCTTTTTTTTTCTTTTCTTTTTTTCTTTTTAAAATAGTGACAGGGTCTCACCATGTTGCCCAGGCTGGTCTTGAACTCGTAAGCTCAAGTGATCTGCCTGCCTGGGCCTCCCAGAATACTGAAATTACAGGTGCTTCATACTGCTAAGTTATCAGAGGTACTTATTTTTTGAAGCTTCCTGTAAATTAAAAGAGGAACTTGGAACCTTCATTTTGTTGTGACAGTTAAGTTATGTTAGAACTTGACATGCAGAGCTAGGCAACTTTTTATTTAGGGTACTTCATTTTTATCAAGCATTTGAAAGGGCCACCAAAGAGTGAAAAATAAAATTTGGTTAGATTACAGGTTTTGTTGGCGAGAAAAACATTAAATGTATCCTTTAATTGGCTTTAAGTTGAAGACTGACAACATGAACTGTAAAAATATTAACTATTCTTTTAAATATGGGTCAAATAAGTATTTAACATTTCAAGTTATAAGCACATCAGTTTAAAGTTCTTACAAATATTAGGGATGGGCTAGAGTGTGCCATCTCTTTGTATTTATAGCTCGAGGAAGATTAGCTCATGACCCTATGAAATAAGCCAGAGTTAAGGGGTTACCTCCTTGGTTTATGATTTTAATTATTTAATGATTCGACTTTCAGGTTACAGAGAAGATCCCAGTAAGGCATTTATATACAAAAGATATTGACATACATGAAGTTCGTATTGGCTGGTCACTAACTACAAGTGGAATGTTACTTGGTAAAGATTCTTTTTGACTGATGTGGGCTCATGAATGTTTAGGAGGGTCTGATATCCTTATTTTTTAACCAGACTAGAAGGCATTCTAAGCCTTTTGTCTGTTTTTATCTATTCTGTTAATACTTCAGACAAGTAATATTAGCACATAGTAGGCACAGGCTACATTTTAGTTTTTGTTCCTTTATTAGAAGTTTATGGTTGAAATAAAATCTTACCCATGATATGCAAATTGTCAACTAATTTGGTCTCTGCATATATATATATATCCCTCCTAACTTTCATCAATTCTAGTACAGAGGTAGAAAAGTAATAGTGTCAGTGACAGGTGATTAGGTTATATGCTCATTTCTCTTGTAGCCTACATTTTAAGTAGTGAAATAGATGAGTCTTTGGACTATTTTAAAAATCTACTTCACGAAGGTTAATTACTTTCTTAGGTGAAGAAGAATTTTCTTACGGGTATTCTCTAAAAGGAATAAAAACATGCAACTGTGAGACTGAAGATTATGGAGAAAAGTTTGATGAAAATGATGTGATTACATGTTTTGCTGTAAGTTAAAGCTAACTTTCTATGTATAAATGGCAAATTAGTAGCTATATCTAGGAACTTTTAAGAAGCTTTATTAAGGTCAATCTTCAATAGGAGCAACATAAATACACCAGTCCCTGGGTTAGTATAAATACTCATTCAGCAGTTGAATTGGGAAAATACAGGACATTTTTGAGGAACTCACTAATTTCATTTTGACTGAAAACAATGAAGATGAAATTGACCTAGAAAATTTAGTCTAACTTCTAGGTCACTATTGTTTCTGGTTCTGGAGATACGTGCTTCATTGTTTGTAACCATCAGATTTCTTAACTGTGTAGCCCTTAGAGGCCACTTAATAGTTGTTTAACCTGTAGCTCCCACAGGATAAGCTTTGCTCCTAATTTTAATTATTAGTTTTTTAGAAAGTTTATAGGAAGCAGATAACTTGAATTTTTTGCTGTTTAACAGAACTTTGAAAGTGATGAAGTAGAACTCTCCTATGCTAAGAATGGACAAGATCTTGGCATTGCTTTCAAAATCAGTAAGGAAGTTCTTGCTGGACGGCCACTCTTCCCGCATGTTCTCTGCCACAACTGTGCAGTTGAATTTAATTTTGGTCAGAAGGAAAAGCCATATTTTCCAATACCTGAAGAGTATACTTTTATCCAGAATGTCCCTTTAGAGGATCGAGTTAGAGGACCAAAGGGGCCTGAAGAGAAGAAAGATTGTGAAGTAAGTGATTTTTTTTTTTTTTTTAACTGGCATTTGAATATTGTTTGACTGGCACAAAATGACATTTAGAAGAGGTAGATGATTAGTCTGTTTACTTTGTGCTGTACATATTTCTCTTAAGTAACCATTGTTTTCCCCTTATGTTGACTGTTACTCTTTCCATAAACACAAATTTTTGTCCCTTAGTATAAGGGCTATGAAGACTTAGATATTTAAATTGGCCTTAATAGAACAATATTTAAAGAATTACTAGGTGGTGTCTAATGACATTTCATTATTTTCACTAGGTTGTGATGATGATTGGCTTGCCAGGAGCTGGAAAAACTACCTGGGTTACTAAGCATGCAGCGGAAAATCCAGGGAAATACAACATTCTTGGCACAAATACTATTATGGATAAAATGATGGTAAGTAAAATGTTCAGGGCCTGATCTCAGTGTTTAAAATAGACGAGGAGAAGGCTGGGCATGGTGGTTCACGCCTGTAATCTCAGCATTTTGGGAGACTGAGGTGGATGGATCACCTGAGGTCAGGAGTTTGAGACCCACCTGGCCAACATGGCAAAGGCCCATTTCTACTGAAAATACAAAAATTAGCCAAGCGTGGTAGTGGGCACCTGTAATCCCAGCTGCTTGGGAGACTGAGGCAGGGAGAATTACTTGAACCTGGGAGGCAGAGGTTGCAGTGAGTCGAGATCGTGCCATTGTACTCCAATCTGGGCGACAGAGCAAGACTCTGTCTCAGAAAAAAAAAAAAAGAAAAATGATAGACTAGGAGGTATTCTAGGTAAACCTTTTGCCTTTGTCTGTATCCATTTTGTTAATATCTTAAGAAGGTGGGAGGAAAGGCAAGATTAAGTTGGTTCTTTAAGTAAGCTCTGTGAGGGTAAACTGCCTTCCGGTGGCTAGGCTTCTGTGTTTTTGAGCACAGGAGCTGCTAGTGTTTCTAGAAGCTAAAAAGAATTAAGTGTAGGGTGTAGGGTCTTGTTACATAGTTTAAGTGACCCTGTTTTTGTAACAATAATGGACAAAGGTAATGTATGTTGCCTGCTTTACATATAGATGAGAGTTGAATTTTAAAAAGCATAACTTATTAAAATTCACAAGTTCAAGGGGAAATTTTAACTTTTGAATATAGGTGGCAGGTTTTAAGAAGCAAATGGCAGATACTGGAAAACTGAACACACTGTTGCAGAGAGCCCCACAGTGTCTTGGGAAATTTATTGAGATTGCTGCCCGAAAGAAGCGAAATTTCATTCTGGATCAGGTATGCTGTAGCTTTGAAGATGAAAAATATTAACTGATAATTTAGATAGATTGGTGTAGAATTAACATTTAGGGTTGTAAACATAAATTTCTTTTTTTAAAGACAAATGTGTCTGCTGCTGCCCAGAGGAGAAAAATGTGCCTGTTCGCAGGCTTCCAGCGAAAAGCTGTTGTAGTGTGCCCAAAAGATGAAGACTATAAGCAAAGAACACAGAAGAAAGCAGAAGTAGAGGGGAAAGACTTACCAGAACATGCGGTCCTCAAAATGAAAGGCATGGAATTTTAATTTAATTCTGTTAAGTGTGTTAAATCTTTTTTTTTTTTTTTTTCCATGCATATTCTGCTTGTGTAACTTTGTTATATCTATTAGGACTTACTCCTCTGAAAAGTTAACATTTTTTCCAGCAATACTGCTTCAGGAATTACAATTGCACTTGTTAAATATGCATATATGTTTGGTCTATTTCTGTTTATTTTTAGGAAAATACGTTACTAAACCTTAATAATTTGTTAGCTTTAGGATTGTGGGGATTTGTGGTGGGTTTCTAAGTTAATAATACGACTTTGTTTCCTGCAGGAAACTTTACCCTCCCAGAGGTAGCTGAGTGCTTTGATGAAATAACCTATGTTGAACTTCAGAAGGAAGAAGCCCAAAAACTTTTGGAGCAATATAAGGAAGAAAGCAAAAAGGCTCTTCCACCAGAAAAGAAACAGAACACTGGCTCAAAGAAAAGCAATAAAAATAAGAGTGGCAAGAACCAGTTTAACAGAGGTGGTGGCCATAGAGGACGTGGAGGATTCAATATGCGTGGTGGAAATTTCAGAGGAGGAGGCAAGTTAATTTTGAGTGTTCTGTATTTAGTTCAGGATCGAAACAAATGATAATTTTATAGTTTGGATATAGCTGGTTTCTTCCTCATTAATGGTATGCTGTCACAGTAATTAGTATTCATGTAATTTGACAGTAAATACACCTAGGTTATGTTGTTAATGGTTAGAATTAAACATTACTTTTGTCTTTAATTAAACAATTATTTTTGGAGAAAAAGGAACAATCTAGAGGAATCCTGAGTCTTCTGTATAAGTAGGGTACAATGCAATGAAACTAAAACATCCCTTGTTTTTTAGCCCCTGGGAATCGTGGCGGATATAATAGGAGGGGCAACATGCCACAGAGAGGTGGTGGCGGCGGTGGAAGTGGTGGAATCGGCTATCCATACCCTCGTGCCCCTGTTTTTCCTGGCCGTGGTAGTTATTCAAACAGAGGGAACTACAACAGAGGTGGAATGCCCAACAGAGGGAACTACAACCAGGTAATGATTAAAGATCCCTGGAAGCATGATGATATCTGTATAGCTTAATCTGGAAAGTTGTGAGCTTTATGTTGGGGTGTCTTAGTAGTCCATAAGGAACATGATAGGCATTGACATAAGGAAAATTGAACTAGTAATGGTGAAATGAGTCTACTTACTTTTGAGTTTTTTCAGGTGTACTAATTAACAAGTCAGATGCGTTTCTCATAATGAATAAAAAATAAAAACTAAGAAACCAGCAGAGGGTATCCAGAATTTGTATATTGCCCCCTAAGATTAGGGGCTAGCAACCTGTCCATTTCTGCTCCTCTCCCCCACCCCCGCAAACCTAACAAGCGATTGGGCCCAGAGCTCTTAGATCTGTTTCCTTTTTGTAGAACTTCAGAGGACGAGGAAACAATCGTGGCTACAAAAATCAATCTCAGGGCTACAACCAGTGGCAGCAGGGTGTAAGTAATTTCTTAAGTGGTTTATGTACATTAATTGTATTTTGAGTTCCTAAGATTTATCAGTCTTGAAAAAGATCCTGTCCAGGGATTGAAGTGTTTATAAGTGTTAATAGGGTAAAGTGTGAATCGTGTTGCAGTAGTAGCCATAATCTACCTTTTGAAGGCAAAATAGGTTGAAAATTGCTATAAGTTAAATTTTTTTAATGAAGTAATATTATTTAATATATACAGTTCTTTTTACTGTTAGCTTTAATTGTGTAAACTAACAAATTCATGATGTGTTTCATTTTGTAATGTGTATTGATAATTATGGGATATTAAAACTAAATCTGGTAGAAATCAGAGGTATGACAAGTATAAATTTGTTTCCAGCAAATTACTCTGAATTAGATTCATTGTCATTTCCTAAAAACAGTTTGAGTGGCTTATTGATGTTTTTTCTTTAAAAACAAAATTTTCTCTTACAGCAATTCTGGGGTCAGAAGCCATGGAGTCAGCATTATCACCAAGGATATTATTGAATACCCAAATAAAACGAACTGATACATATTTCTCCAAAACCTTCACAAGAAGTCGACTGTTTTCTTTAGTAGGCTAACTTTTTAAACATTCCACAAGAGGAAGTGCCTGCGGGTTCCTTTTTTAGAAGCTTTGTGGGTTGATTTTTTTTCTTTTCTTTTTTGTACATTTTTAATTGCAGTTTAAAAGTGAATCGTAAGAGAACCTCAGCATTGTGCACGATAAGAGAATGTGTCAGTATTTCAGGGTTCTACATTTTATCTGTAAAATGTGACTTTTTTTTTTATCACAACAGAAGTAAAATGTTGCTTTGTACCTGGTGTCTTTTATTAAGAATTTACTCCCCCCATTTCTCACAGAGAATAACAGTCGGGAGTCATTGTCACAATATAATAGAAATGTTAGCAACCAGATTCATGTAAGGACTAAGTGGTCCTCATGAATTGCATTAAGACTCTGTACTGCTCATATTACACTCCATCCTCTCTGTAGTTTGCTGGGTAGTGGAGGGGGTAAGCTAAATTGTAGTTTCTGACAATAACTGGGAAGGATTTTTCTTAAATAACGATGGAATTGGTATAATTGGGATTGAAAACCAAAACTTGGAACTAAGATAGAGAAGATGGAGTGTATGTAGAAGGGCTGTTAAAAATGTAAACCTTGGTTGCATTATTTGTGGAGGCTCAAACTTGTGAAGGTTAAATACCATAATTTTTCCATTTGTTCTGCATTTTGATTCTGAAAAGAAAGCTGGCTTTGCCCATTTCTTATTAAAAAAACTTGTTGTAAATCCAGTTGTCTAATGGGATCTATATGAAGTTAGCCATGTCTGTATGCCCTTCTCCCACAAAATACTGTATAACTAGTGTGCTTGTAGTAGTTAACTCCACCATCTTTGTAAGCTAATGAAATTGTGAGTCACCCATTTATATCTTAATTTTTAATCATGTCAGTTCTTGAATGGGTATCTCCTTAGCCTGCTGATTTCTTTTTCTTTCTAAAGAAAGTGGGTGGAGAAATTAATTTAGACGTTTGTTTGCAATAAAAAGAATTCATTTTACTCTTGTTTTGGGATTCTCGCCATCAAGGTTCAAAATCCCTTTAACTCCCAAGAGGAGAAATTTTAAGTGTGTGCTTTCTGGACAGCTTATTTACTCTGCATAGAACATTTAGGTTTTAAAAACTTAAATGTATACTGACAATTGATATATAATTATGAAGTAAAGTTGAATTCTTCCCTTCCCCTCCCCACCAGACAACTTTTAACATATTTAATGAGGGGAAAAGGTACTGGCTGGGAGAAGTTAACACTGAGTTTATCATCTTTACCGAATGCTAATGCTGTCCTCAACTGATTATTTTATATACATATATATGATACATGAAACTCTGGGAACAGATGCTTTTAGAAGCCATCATGCAAGCCAGTCATTGATGTCACTACTACACAACACTGCTAACTTGACTGTAGCTCTGTAATAACATTAGATCCCCTAATTGTAATTATATTGGGTTTGCACAGAACACTTTTAATCTTCCCCTCACCCATGTGAAGTGAGGAATCAGGAGTCAAACTGTAGAACTAAAATTTGACTTCAGTCTAGTGTTTCCTTGGTGTTTTTAGGTTGCTTTTGGTAAGTTTAGGTTTGCTATATTTCTGATTGCTTAGAATTTTGTTTTAGCCCTTTAAAATCAGATCTTAAATATCAATTCATACTTCTAAGGAATTTTCTTGGTGTAAGCTGGAGTTTTAAGTGATGGTGTAGGTTCAGTTGAGACATTTTTGGAACAAAGGCTAATCCTTAGTTAACATAGGATATTTAACAGTTGAAGATAGTGTCATGGATTTTTACCTTTTCTAGCAAGTAATGCTAAGAACCACTGGCCTGAGCTGCTCTTCAGTATACCTTATTACGATTGCATAGGCTTACCTAGAGGAACAGTTTCAGGTTTTGATTCTAATCAGCGTTGTGTCCTAAAGTTGTCCTTTGTGCCTTTAAAAAGTCTTGGCTATACCCTGTAGTTTAAAATTGCTTATTAAGGAATTCATTTTATAATTGCAATGGGAAAGTCATGGTCAAGTAACACTAGGTAGACTATCATTCCTGTTTAGCCCAGAGAATTTGGGGAGAGTGTAGTTAAAAATGGTACCCAGAAAAATGTTAAAATTTTTAGTCAAGACTGGAATTAATAGAATTGTCTACACTTGTATGGAAGAAGTAACCTTAAAGTGTTTAAGGGATTCAGAGAAGGGAGTGTACCAAATAGCAAGCAACAGGGAGAAAATTAGGTAAGTTAAGAAATAAGATATGAATGAGAAACCCGATTTATTGCTCATCCTTCCCATGCCTCCCTAATGGCAAGCAAAAATCTGAACAACTGAAAAGGATGTAGTTCTGGACAAATCCTAACTACCCAAAGGAAACTCACTGTGAGATTGCTGTTGATTTGAGGGGTGCTTTCACTAAGAGGTTATATTTGAAAATAGAATAACATGCTGAGTGAAAACTGGCTTTGGATTGGTCAGCTGCAGTAATACAAAAACAGCAGAGAATTTGAGAAAAGAAAACTAAAACTTAGACTGCTGTGAGAAATGATGTAAATAAAATTATATGGAAAGTTTTCCCTCATATACTCACACATCCTTTGAAGGGCTCTGGCTTTGACCAGTTTATGGCCTTGAGCAAGATGAAATCATGAAATTGAGTCAAATCAATTTGACACTGAAATGACAAGAGGAAACTCTTAAATTTATAACAAGCCCTCATTTGCCTAGGACAGATCCTGTCTATAAAAATAAAGATTGAACCTAGATGTTCTGAGCACTAGCAACAAGGTATTAAAGTTTAAAGGAATTTTCTTTGAAAAAGTTATGAAATTATTCTAGGAAACAACCATAATAGTATTTTAAGGGACTTTCACCTGGGGATTTTATATTCATGAATAGAGTGTATTCTGTATTTAAAATGTCTCATTTGTGGGAATTGAATGACATGTTTTTTGATAAATTTATTCACAATATAAATTGACTTTTTATTCTAGGACCATGTAAATAATGGGTTCCATTGCACAAATAAAAATATTTTAATAGCTTTTTAGGCAGTGGTGTAGACATCTTGGATATAAATAATTGTAGACCTTGTATATTTGGTTTTTAAAAAACTAGCATAAACAGTGAGAGAGGCATAAACATATCTTTTAGAGCCCAAGTGGTAGTGTCTAGCATTGGATATAATAAATGGATGTTTTACAAAGTGTTTCCATAATTCTCTTCCTATACATAAATATAAAATGTCTTGTTTTCAAAAGTGGATGGAACTTGGCTGGGTGTGGTGGCTCACGCCTGCAGTCCTAGCACTTTGGGAGGCCAAGGCGGGAGGATCACTTGAACTCAGGAGTTTGAGACCATCTTGGGCAACATAGTGAGACCTGGTCTCTTAAAAAAAAAAAAAAAAAAGTGGATGGAACTTGTAGCAGAGAATTTTATCTACTTCTCATCCTGCTTGAGAATACTCATTTGAGATGTTCCCTTGGAAAGATGAACAGAATGCTGCATCTGAAGCCATTTCTTCCCACCTAACATTCTTAAAATGATTGGAGTTTAAACTTTGTCATTCATTCCTAATTCTGGAGCTCTGAGGTTGAGGGGTTCAGTTTGGTGAATAATTGGGTTTAAGTTTTAACATTTTAGTAATAGTTAATAAAAGCCAACATACATACGTTAAACGCTTGACAATACGTTGCAATTCCTATGCATTGGGACTCATACCCAGCATAAACCGTGCTTTGAGCAAGAATTGGTCAACTACCTGAGATCTCTAAAACAGTCATTTGAATTACTAATTATATAAACCACAAGTCTCTTCGAATTGTTAATTGCCTAAATTTACCCTAAAATTTAGTTAACGCTGCAGTGCCTTTATTATTTAAAGCTTTTTTTTTGGTGGGGGAGGGCCACAGCTACTCCGTAACTTTAAATTTTAAAGCATGAAGGTGGTCTAGCTAGTATTAGTGCTTGAGTTGGTAGTTACATAGGCTGCTCTTGAATCATCCTGTTTTCTTTGCCTAGGATTAGCACTACAGGTACATATTTGTAAAATAAGCATTAAAAGTACTTTGTCCAGCTAACTCATGTTGGAGTGACCTTTGTCTTATTAACCTTTGTTATGAAACTTAATTAGAATAAGCCCTTGAGAATTTGGAAGTGAGCTATACTACTAATGTAGTATGTATCCCTTTGGAGTAGGTGAAAAACCAGGGGTCACCTAGAGTCTATGTTTTTGAAATTGAACAGAAACAATTCATCTTAATACTTAGTTTTCATTATGTTTAGCTTAATATGTGTGCTAGTTTATTTGGCGTCACACTTATGTCAATCTCAAGTCATGCAGAAATAGCACAGTCTCAGGGAGGAGGTTAGGTGGGAAATTGATACGCTTACGTTATTGAGTAGGACTATGCTTTCGCATCCTAACCAATTGACTAAAAATATAAATGATTGAAATAATTTTCGTTAGTTGCCCCAGGAATCTTTAATAATAGTTTTAAGCGATAGTAGATTGGAAATAGGCAGATGGGTTATATTCATAATGTTAACCTAGAATTACTCAGAAAATATAACACCTATGTAGTAGAATGTGTTGATTGTAAGCCTAGTGTTAGGCAAACATGTTGAAGATGGGCCAGGACATCAGTAATCACTACTTGGTTAGGCAAGTTATTAGGACAGGGATCATAACCATGTTGTCAGTTTGTAGTTACCTAATTATTGATAAGGAATACTTTCTTTTTCATGCCAGGATTCAGCGTATACTTGTGTCTTGAGCAGGTGCTTTGCTTTTACAGCTGAATCCTGGGCATAAAAAGCTATATACTGTAGTTGGAAGTGTGAAGTAAATGTCAGTGTAGGTTAGTCTCTAGAGAAATGTCTTCTATAGAGATTCAGGGTTTTTTTGCACCGTTATGGTCACCATACTGTGCCAATGACATAGTTACTCATGAGCATGTCCAGTCTGTCTATATTATTGAAAAATAATGCAGATATTACAGGCTGGAGAGTTAGCATCTGGCAGAAGTGCTGCACCATTGTGGATGTTCTTCCTACTAGTTAACAATTCCATTCTGAACCTTACGGGAAGTCAAATGAGTGATATCTAGTAAAATACATGTTGCAAACACTTAAAGCATTGCCACAAATTGGTGTCAGCCGAGACATTTAAAAAAATTTAAAACACCAAGAATAGATGGGGCTGGTATGGACACCAGTTTGTAAGTGTGACATTAATGCTGCAACAGTTAAAGCATATATGGAGGTGAGATAACATTAGTACCTAAAGAGTTATTGGCTTATTTAAATGTCAACTAACAAAAGGAATTTTTTGAGGCAACTTGTATCCTGTATCTCAGTTGTATGTAGTTAAAGATTGGGAGAATCATGGTCAAGTACAAGAATAAAAGATTCCAACGTAACTTTTTTTTTTTCTTGAAAAGTAAAGCAAACAAATGTGCTGATTTACATTTCATCTCCTTTTCCTTAGTCTGTCCATGTGAATGTGCTGTGTGGAAGAGTTAAAGGGTCCAACTAAATGTTCCAGTGATTCCAATAGGTATTCCAAATTAATTGCTGCTTGTACATTTCATAGTTACGTTAGGCTTCCAGAATCACTTTAAATAGGGCTCTATTTTTAAAAGATGGGGGAAGAGGGTAATTGGTAACCAGATGGACAGAGTCTCCACAACAGAAAAAAGGGTGTTTTCTCTTGCATATCTGAGGTGAAGTGTGTATTCTGTGTGTTCTTAGCAATTGGCAGTCCTCTTGCTTAGGTTTACAGGTGTATGTGCAAATAGACCTGAGTACTTTCAAAGTTAGATCATTTTTCTGATGTCATCTATTAAACTTTTGGCAATACGTTTGTTTTGATCTCCACCCTACTTGGTAGAGTGTAAGTACTTCCTTACAACGTTCTAACGTCAAACAGTGCATAGGAGACCTTTCTGTCCTTGGTTGCCCAAAATCTTTTTCATTTCTATTAAATTCACAAATACTTATTTTTACTAGCTTATGAAAATTTGGAAAATAGCTTGACATCCTTTTGGATAATGAAGTGATTAGTTCATATATTGAAGTACATAAAATCAACTAGGAAGTAAATTCAAGACTGAAGGAATGGGAGGGCTTGTGTGAGCTTTGGTTGTATCAGTCCAGGACATGTAATTTTCCATTTCCCTGAAAAAGACTTTAGAGGAATTTATTTTCCCCACTATACACTCCAGAATGTCTTTAGGTGAACTAAGAGGGCTTGGGCTCTATTCTGATTCCAGATGTAGCTATCAGAGTTTGCTTAATGAAATATGGGTCTACTCACAAATAAAGCAATTTAATGGTTTCTGAAGAGTAGGCAACTTACAGTTTCATAGCCATTTCTGTTCATTTGAGAAAAATCATAAAACTACAGAAAAGGGAAACATTCATTTCAAAAATAAGCTTTGAATTTAGATGGTAAGGCATATGTTTTATTTCACATGACTTCAGGGTATCGGTGAAGAAACATTTTTATGGAAACTTAAACCTTAAGAAGCCAGTATATGCAAAGAATGATTACTTTGATATCCCCTGAGGGTGTGCCATATAATAGGTGACTGATAACATACAGGATTTAATTCTTAGAAGAATTAAGAACAGATACCACCCATTACATTGACCTACCTTTTAAAGTGAACAATAGAAACCTCTCTCAGAATTAGTATTTGCTTATTATCAACATAAAAATACTTAAATGTCCTTATTCTAGAACATGGAAGCATAGGGCAAATGCAATGGTTGAAAGCACTGAAAAATATTTGTAAAACATTTGTAGTGCTCACATTATGAACTTTAATACTTTGAAAAAACTACCTTCATAATTTTTTTGTTCTAACAGCTTCCTTTTTAAGAAAACATTTTAAAACATTTTAAAATGGAACTTAATGTGCAAAATAAGTTGTGTAAAATACCAGTATTTTGGGTGGTAGAGGATATTGGTATATTGACCTGGGTTGATGACGACTGGAGTATTTTAAGATAACTACTTCCAAAAATTATTTTATTCTAGAGGACCACTAAAAATCAGAATTACAGCAATCATTTTAATTTTTCTACTTTCCTTGTTAAGATCTTCTGCTTACCCAAAGAATAGTGTATATCTTAACATGACTTTTAAAGGGGTGTCTTGATCCCCATCACAGATTTTTATCTAGGAATAGAAGGATTGAAACCCTATTTGATCCCTAGCTCTTTGCTGAAAAGTGCATAAACAGGAATCCTGAATTTATTATATAGACCTCCTCGCATTATATAATCGAAGCAAAGGGAAACCAGCGATGGAGTAGAGGTACGTAGACTAAAGAGATGCTTGCAAATCAAATGATGGTACCTAGGGATAGTCACATTTTCTTGTTGCCAAACTCAGTCAATATAAATCACAAGTCCAGAGAAGAGCTAGTTAATTTTAAATTCCCCGAGGTCCTTTTACTGAGACGGAAAAGCACAAGCAGTCAAGGAAAACCAGAGGGAGGGGCGAGGGAAGGGGAAAGTGCATAAAGCACTTAGAAGATTTTTTAAAAGTAGGTATGATAGATAAGCCACAAGAAGTTTGTAAGACTACTAATAACCATAATTCTATTTTAATCAGCTATTTAGCTGGTACCTACTGCTATATCACCTAGTGTGACATTTCGGAATTAATGGAACAATGAAAGAAGCTGTACGCTGGAGGTTCCAGGTGCTCATGGAAGGTAGGTTACTCTTACAGTTTGAAATTGTGACGTGTGAAAGTCTGGATGAGAGAAGGGGAACCTGGGCTATTTTTATTTTTTTTGAGACCGAGTCTGGCTCTGTCACCTAAGGCTGGAGTGCAGTGACACGATCTCAGCTCACTGCAACCTCCGCCCCTCAGGTGCAAGCAATTCTCCTGCTTCAGCCTCCCGAGTAGCTGGGATTACAGTTGCACACCACCATGCCAGGCTAATTTTTATATTTCGTTTTTTAGTACAGACGGGGTTTCACCATGGTTGGCCAGGCTGGTCTCGAACTTCTAACCATGTGATCTGCCCGCCTTGGCCTCCCAAAGTGCTGGGATTACAGGTGTGAACCACCGCGCCCGGCCAGGAACCTGGACTATTTTGTCTAGTATTTATTGACTATTTTGTGCCAGATACTTGGATGAGAATGTAAAGATAAAAATGGCCAAGGTTTTTGCCAGTGAGAAACTTAGGCTGTACGTGATGGTACCTGACACTGCTGGTGACCAAGGAAAGCACCAACGATTATAAGACACAAAATAGTGAGAACTTAAAAGGTGATTGTAGTTCCCAGAAGCTAGTGAGCAAAAGAATGGAAAGTTACAGAGAGGAAGTAAAAAAGCCATTCCAAGTGAAACGAAAAAGTGGCAGCGTGGATAGGGTATAAAGGCCATAATGTGCCAGGGGCGGTGGCTCACGCCTGTAATCCCAGCACTTTGGGAGGCTGAGGCAGGCGGATCACCTGAGGTCAGTTCAAGACCAGCCTGGCCAACATGGTGAAACCCTGTCTCTACTAAAAATGCAAAAATTAGCCAGATGTGGTGGCATGCACCTGTAATCCCAGCTACGTGGGAGGCTGAGGCAGGAGAATTGCTTGAACCCGGGAGGTGGAGGTTGCAGTGAGCCAAGATCATGCCACTGCACTCCAGCCTGGGCAACGGGAATGAAACTCCATCTCAAGAGAAAAAAAAGGGTCACAGTGCATTGAAGGTTTAGCAAAAAACTACAGTTTGGACGTGAAGTTGGATGGTAGGGTAGACATTGGTAGGAGAGACTGGAAGTGTCTACTGGTTTCTCCTTATTGAGGGTGGGTGTTACAGACTTTAGTAATTTATTAATACACTTGTAAAATCTTAATAGCACAAGAATAAAAGTTATCATGTAAATACATGAAGCATTTAAAAAAAAATCCAACCAAATATGTTACAAATTTGTTTTTATCCAGGTTTCCAGTTTATGCAAACTTCTGTGAAAATGAGCTAACCTTGTTATTGGTGAAGACATTGGAAATTTTACCAGCCAAGAGAGAGCTTCTCTCTTACTCAGGGTAAGATGTAATTGCAGTGTGCCAGTGCTGGAAGGGACCTGTTTTACATGTTACGTATGTTACACGTCAGCCCTCCATGTCCTCCAGTTCTGCATCCTTGGATTCAACCAACCGTGGGTTGAAAATACTGGAGGTAAAGACAAAAAATAACAATGAAACAACAACAACAAAAAAGGAAAATAATAACTATATTTACAGGGCATTTATTTTATATTAGGCATTGTAAGTAATTAGAGATGACTTAAAGTATATGGGAAAATGTATGTAGATTATATGCAAATATGAGGGCATTTTATTTCAAGGGACTTGGGCCTGTGGATACCAAGGGATAACTAAGTATAAGTGGCCTGTCCACAGTTATCAGATTATTGATTAGTGATCATCAATATTTTCCCACATTCATGCAGTGCTGCCTCTGAAAACATGGTTGAATATCCTATGTATTTTTTTTTTTTTTTAAATTCGAGAGAGTCTCTATCACCTAGGCTAGAGTGCAGTGGCGCAATCTCGGCTCACAGCAACCTCCGCCCGCCCCACCTCGGGTTCAAGTGATTCTCCTGCCTCAGCCTCCTGAGTACCTGGGACCACAGGCATGCACCACCATGCCTGGCTAATTTTTGTATTTTTAGACAAGACAGGGTTTTACCATGTTGGCCAGGCTGGTCTTGAACTCCTGACCTCAGGTGATCTGCCTGCCTCGGCCTCCCGAAGTGCTGGGATTACAGGTGTGAGCCACCGCGCCCGGCAGAATTTTTTAACAATTATTTGGTTATAACTAATTTGGATAATGTAGACTGCATGCAGCTTTGATTTGTGCCACTAAGAGTGGGCAAACTGTCTTCCTTTTTGTGAATCAGTAAAAATTTTCCCTCAACATGTGTTTGACAGTGTCATTCACTGCTAAGTTAAGGCATTTGGTAAACCACACAGCCTCTGCATCATAACCTTCCTAGCGACAGCCACAAGAAAAGGTGGGCATGGGAGGGAAAATGTTCTTGTGAATTGAACTGGAGCAAGCTCCATTTTTCTTGAGAAAAAGATGTAGATCAAAATAATATTTTCTTTGCTATTTCTGTGCCTTCCATGGTACATCAAAATAATAGGACCAGAAATGGCCACAATCTTGTTGACTGCTGGTGTCTTCCCCCCAGTATTTCTTTAAGCATTTCTTAAGCATCTAGCTTGTGTTTTGTTATATTTAATAGATTTTCTTAAAGTAATTGTACAGATTAAAACCAGGAATAACTTCATTTTCCTAGAAAGGGAGAATTTCTCCAGAGAGTAAATCCTGAGGATTTAGTTAGATGCTGTGGGTATTCTTGTATTTTAAATAATATTTTAATGGGAGCAGCTGATTGACTTTCAAATGGATTGTTTACATTAATAGTAATACTGCAATTATTTTTCTATTGCATCAGTCTGCCAAACAAGTTCCATGTGCCTATTTAAATTCAAAACTAATTATACTTAAAAATTTAAACCCTGCATACTTTCCCAAAAATGTTTAGGGCAGTTAAAAACAACTCTTTTGGAAGATGACTCACATTTTAAGAAATGAGAGAATACTGTCAAATGATGAATGCATTTAAAAAATAATTTGCAAAGTGATAAAATCCCTTCGTTTTAAATCTTTTAAGAAGTCAGTAAGTAGTTGCTGCTTTTTAATGGGATACTAATAAGGTTGAGGTTTTTGTTAAGGGAAGTTTACTTATCATTAAACTCTATACTTACTACTACAAGGAAACTCTTTCCAAGTACATTAAACACTAGGTTTTATAATTCTTTCACATTTTAAGTATGACAAGTCCACTATATGTAACATGTAAGAATGCTATCCTGGCAGTAGACATGGGGCCAGAATAAAATGGCAAGTTTTCATTCCATACAAGTGGGGGAAAAAAATGACTACAACTTAAACTTTATTTATTTGATTGAGAGCTTATTGCACATGAAATGTTTTGTGTGGTTGATCTTAATTAACTTCGTTCACATTGACTTTTCTGTGCTCAAGATTGTTCAATTGCTGCTGTTGCTGTTGTGTTTTCTTTCAGGATCGAGGTGGGTACCTTCATATAATATCTTCTTTTTAATTTCTTCTCTGGCAATTCTTTCCCGGATTCTTTGCTTTGCATAATTATACCTACAATGAAACCTTGGAAGAAAAGAATATGAATAAATTGTTAATATTAAGTCCTAGAGAAATTAATTTATGAAATTCTCTATAAATCACACAGAACTTAAATACTTACAGATGACTACCCTGAGACTGAAAAATATGAATGTTCTAATTTATAGTGCTATTTTTGGGCAGTATTGGTGTCAGAATACTATCAACACATTCTTTTTTATTAGGAAAGAAAAGGATGTCTACATAACAGTTTGTAAATGATAAAATCCATTAGTTTTCAGTCTTCTGATAGCATTGTTTATTATAAGAAACTAGTATTTGCTCTCATTAACAGGATAATAATGCTATGTCTACATATAATTATTTCTATCACCTTAAATAGTTCACTGCAGAAATTCATGTATAAATGGAACCATATAGTATGTACATATCGTACTCTTAGGTCTGGCAAATATTTGAGGCTCATCCATATTTTCACTGATCAGTGGTTATAAACACATTCTTAAAGTAGCATTTTCAGATATGAATAAGCAGGGATGAAATAAGTATTAGGGTAAGGGAAATGGTTGAGGCTTTCCTAAGTGAAGTGTAAAAACCACAGCTTTCTTTTTAATGGAATATCTAATACGCATTTATGCGTTCAAGCATTTTAAGACAGATTTCCATGAAAATGTCCTTAAAAGTCAAGATTCTTCATTGAGGGTGAGTATCTCACAATGGGAGATTGCTCTGAAAACGTGCTTTTTGAATTAGATAACCTATCATGAATACTTAGCAAACATACCAGCATCCCAAAGTCACCAAGATAAACCCTCCTACTCCAACATCACATGATCTTTTAATTCTACCTGTCAAAAATAAGCGTAACAGTCAATTAGAATATAAATGCCTGTTATAATTGCCTGTTATATACATTACTCCATCTAGAAAAAAAATCTTTCATCACATAGAGAAATGCATTTTTTAGTACATAGAGAAATAAAATAAACACAGATACTCACTAGTGAACAAAAAATGTCCAAAGCCAGCCACAATAGATCCTAATGAACCATACAATATTGAATCCCGGGCGCAGGGAATATTTTCAACATCTAAAAATCCTAGGAGCTTAAAGGCCTAGAATGAAAAAAAAAAAACCTAGATTGAGTAAGAAAGTATTTCATTTTGGGGTGGTTTGGCAAAAATGACAACACCATTTATTTTGTTGTAGTTAAGGGTTTAAACTGGAATATGTGCCATGTGAAAACCTAAATCAGCTTGTATTGTCTTTGTCCAGCTTTGGTGTGCAGTCTCAATCTTTCAATCTGAAAGCCTTAAAAATTGGACCAGAACACCCTTAAGCAATAGGGTAACTTTTTATGCCTATCACTGAAATTGAAAGCAGCATAGTTTGCTTCAATAACTCCAATAATTTGGGAAGCAGAAACGGAAGAAGTAATTTGAGTCATGTTTGCTTATGTAGTGCCATTTAAAAACCTTTCATATTTTATTAACTAGGTTAACGTCAACTGTGGTTGTAAATGTTTCATGTTAAGATAAACATGGACAATATATTAAACTCTAGTCTCTTTTCTTGCCTGTGAAGTGAGGCTGCACTTGATTATATTTGATTCTTTGTTCATAATACATGGTAACGATAGCTAGGTGTGGTGAAAAACCCGCGGATCCAAAGAGCGGGATTTTTCTCTCAGATCTGCCGCTAACTTTTGTATTCTATAGGCTACTTTTATCTCCATGGTCTCAATCTATAACATGAACGGATTGGGTTAGATGACTGAAGTTTCTTCAAGTGCTAAAATGACTTCTTTTTCTACAGTCTTCATTGGATTTATGTATTTCTTTTTCCCAATATGTTTAACTGGGATGTCTGTCACTCTAGGGCGGCAAGACAGACATTTGAAAGAACAGTCACACTGCTGAACTGGCATTTCTGTCAACACAAAAGTTTAGAAAAGTCATTGTAATTGTTTTCTAAAACTTGATTCAGTATGTATCAGATTTTCAGTAAGGCTGCTTTTAAAAGGAACCACTCTGTCCATTTAAAGGTTTCATAGTTATCTTCAATGGGTTAGTATTTGGGGCAGGACATTAAAACTAGAAGAGGATTCTATAGGATGAGGTGATACCTAGAAGGTAATATATTGTAAGGCAAAAGACGTTAGAAGAAATGGGGAAAGGACAGTAAAAGGCAAGTCAGATTAAAGGTTGAAACATGAAGATACATATTCTCAATTGTATTTCTGCCTATGTTTGCTTCTTTGGCTCAAGCATCTGTTGAAAGAGACAAAATGTGATTTGGTTCATAATAAAGCAAAAATTATTTACTCTTGAATCATTCTATTCCATTTTTTCCCTCTCCCTGTCTGGCCCCCTGCTCCCAACTGCATGCCTAACACAGGATTGTTTCAAAGCTTTGCAGTACAGTTCTTCACATTACCAAGGGGGATTTCATTTAGCAAAAAGACTTTTCTCCTATCAGCATGAAAGCTCAGGTGATATATGATCATGCGGGTAGTGTTATGCAAATGGGGAATGCTGGACTTACCACTCCAGTCCAGGACTACCCCTTAACTAGCCTATTTCCCCAAGGATGGGATGCTGGGGCCAGAGGGTTAGTACCAGTTTTATCTCTAGTCTTAGGTGCAAAGATGCGAGTGCGAGACCAGCTTCTACCACAGGGCAGCACTAAGTATTTTCTAGTCCCACTCTCAGATTCTGATTTAGATTCATTGGAATCTATTTAGAAAACTCCAGGTGGTTTTTTCTGATTGACTATCAGACTGGGCAAACACTGCTTTAGGAAATTTTAATTTTTAACAAAAGTAAATTTGCAAACAATAGGAAAATAGCTCAGCTGGCTTTAAAGGCAAATATCTAAATAGAAGCTACACATCCTATTTAAAATAGTGCCTTCTGAAACAAACCCAATCCCCAACAAAACTCTCTGATCTAAAATAATAGTGGCTGATCTCATAATTAAGAGCTGCTGGTTGTGGGGGTGGGTGGGTAATAGTGCCAGGCTCTCTACATGTTTTGTAATTCTCCAGCCTCTCTGTGAGATTACCTCTGAAACAGTCTCGGGGACTTAAAAGGCTAATAATAAGAGTTGGCAGGAGTGGAGGTAGAAGTCAGTTTCACCCCAAAGCCTATGACATTTCCATTGTGCCAAACCACATCATTAAGAAATAACCAAGGCTGAAGGGTTCCGTGGGCACCTTTCCAGTTGTCACATGTCTAAGAAGTAATACGATTCAGTACATAAATGCCTACAATTTCTATCAAAATGGGAAGAATATGCAACGACTTGAGCCTGTATACCTTTACAGTCAAGTACACTGAACTGTAAAATGCTCAGAAGTGCAGATGAATAAAGGATCCCGGGCATAACTCCCTTTGAAGTATTGTATTTATATATGGAAATGTTCTGTTCATAATATACATGCCTTAAACATTTCCATTCCTTAAGTAGCCTGCAAACTTAAGATTTAACTCTTTGCCACTAACAAATAGGAACCCTTAAAAATAAATTAAGGAAATGTTAGACATTTTTAAAGCTTAAATTTAGAAAAGCAGCTTTACCAGCTCACCCTGATGGATCTAAGGAAAGCTCAAGAGATTTCCAAGCCAGAATGTCAATAAAGTATAGAAACAGATCTGATCAAATTAGAGCCAGTTGATGTTCCACCACTAAATCTGCTTCAGTGCCCGTATTTGTCTTTCCTCTGGTTGCAAAGGATGAATTGCAAAGGAAGACTGTCTAACACTAGTCTTCCCACTTGGGCACTTGATTTCCCTCTCGCGTACTCGGGCTTGGCCTCTGTAGCTACCCCTTTCATTTGTTAGTTTTTTTACTTGCAATAATTTACTATCAACCCTCTTGACCAGGCACAGTGACTCACGCTTGTACTCCCAGCACCTTGGGAGACCAAAGTGGGTAGATCACCTGAGGCCGGAAGTTTGAGACCAGCCTGGCCAACATGGCAAAACCCTGTCTCTATACTAAAGTACAAAAAATTAGCCAGGCATGGTGGCACATGCCTGCAATCCCAGCTATTCGGGAGGCTGAGGCAGAATCGCGTGAGCCCGGGGGGCGGAGGTTGCAGTGAGCCAAGATGGCACCACTGCACTCCAGCCTGGGCAACACAGCAAGACTTCATCTCAAAAAAATCCAAAAATCCTCTGTACACCCCTCTCCCCTCATCAGCCTCCTAAATTACCATCCTTTCAGGGCAAAACTTTCTGAGTTTAAGTGTGCTTTTCTACTTAAAACCTCCCATTCTCCCTTTAACTCACTTGAGTGAGGCATCTATCCACTGAACTTGACACCAGTCAAGACTTCTAAAAGACATCCACTGCAGTCTATCTTAGTCTGCATCTCAGCATATGTGGCACAAATTATCATTTGTTTTTGAAACTTTTTTACTTTTACTTGGCTTCAAATACGTCTCCTGGTTTTCCATTTCATTGACATCTTTGTTGCTGCTGTTCCCTCCTGATGTTGAAGTGCCACTCTTACCTCCTTTGAAATCCAGTCTCTTCGTAGGTCTCTCAAGGCTTTCAATTAAATGCCATTATATCATGACTCCAGATTTCTCAATCAAACCCTAATTTCTCCCAAGCTTCAGCCTCATTCATCTGCTGAATGACACTTTTATGTATAAAAAGCACCTTGAACCTAGTATTTGCAAAATACATTTTCACCTCCAAACCGGCCTCTTAATGGCACACTCACTACTCAACCAATTTTCAGACCCAAAACCTAAGAGTCATCCTTGATTCCTTCATCAAATCCACATTCAATGTATTAACAAGTCTGGAAGGATCTACATTCTAAATACATCCTGAGCCAAACCACTGCCCACCAACTTCATTGCTAATACAGGTTGAGCATCCTAAATCTGAAACTGATAAGACACTAAAAGAAAATGTTTGGGTTTTTTTTGAAATGGGAAGCTCAACCTGTCCTATCAAATTACCATCTATCAACAGTACCTTTTCAGATCTTGATTCTACTCACAAAAATGTGTACCAGATGACTATAATAAATCCTCTGTAGCCTTCGATCATGCTCAGAATCCTTACCATTGCTCCAAAGGCCCTGCATGATCCCGTGCTCTTTCATATCCCACTCTTGGCCACTAGTCCAGGCACCGTGGCCTTGCCATTCCTCTAACAAGCTGAGACGGTTGTTACCGAACACATGCCGCCTTTCTCCTGATCTCTGCATCACTGGCTCGGCAGAAGTCTTGCTTATTGATTCCCCGAGTAGAATGTCAGCTCCTTAAAGGGATTTTTCCTGTCTCCATCAGTCTAGTACCTAGTGTAGTGCCTAATACTCAGTAGGCACTCTGTAAATATATTTTGAATGGGTGAATTAAGAATTTACCTGAATGTGAATTTACATGTACCAAATTTCACATTTTAAAGTTTCCTGAAGGACAAGAATGTGGCAGAGGACAGATTTTAGGGGCTAGTTCTGTCAAGGTATGCCAGCTTGGTAACTCCCATTTTTACTTTAGGTTTGCTAATTCTTAAAATAATCCTTCTCCCTGGGTTGTGCTGTAATGATCACTGACAAATTCTTTTTAAAAAAATACCACAGGCTTCTTTTCTGACAGTACCTTGGGCTGTTAATTCGTCATAGCTTCTATTAATTAGCTTTTTGATGGGCTCTGATAGGTACTACTGTTTCATGAGCGATTTTTTGTTTTTTGGCCTCCCACCTCTGACCATGCTCAGTTTGAAGCTTATAACTATCTTCATTTCAACAACTACAATATTGTTTTGCTACTTACTGATGGGCCAATTAAATAGGTCAATGTTGATCCTTTTTTTTTTTAATTTCCATGGATTAAACCACCTTTATGACCTTTATAAAAAGCAGTTGTCTCCTACCAAAAGTCCCATTCAGGATTCCAGTGTTTATCACAAAACTGAATCTAGGATTTACTGTGTGTATGCAAGGATCTTTTTTTTTTTTTTTTTAAAAACAAACCACTAAGCTTATTCCAAATGGGCAGTGTATGGGAGAGTAAAAATAGATAAGGCACCAGTAGTACGTAAACTGACAAAACCTGTTGGCTATTAAGTATGAAAACAATTTATACAATATGTGTTAATATTAACCGTATGATCTGATGTCTTGGCCAAATTTAGATGGAAGCCCACCAGAGAAGCAAGCAAGAGCAAGAAGTGAGCACAATTTCCAAGCTGAGAGAATATCTTAAAAGTATATATTAGGAGCCGTTTAGCACACAGTGGTCTTCTATAAATACTTGCTCATGATTAGCCAATGTTACGATCTCCATAGTTTATATTAAAACTTTTTTCCTCTTCCATTATCCTTTTCTGAATACCTGTTCTGCCCTGAGAATAGAAATTGGGTTCCCTGCTCTTAATAAGGAGCCCACGCAAGATCATTTATTGCCTTCCAATATGATAAGTGTAACGACGTACAGGATGCCTGGGAAGACGGGGAAAGTACCTAAGTCGGCTTTGGTGAAACACAGGAGCCCTTCCAGGGAGAGCGCTTGGTTTAGCTTTACTATACCAAGAATTTGGGTTTTATCCTTAAAGAGTTGGGATGGGCTGCTACGACCGGATGTTAGGCAGAGGGCTGAAAACTGTCCAGTTTACAGACTGGAAGGGGCCAGCGGATAACAGTGGAAGGTGGATTCAGGAGACAGTACAGGGACACCAGCTAGGGAGGCTACTGGTGATGGAGAAGAAAACCCATCATCTCATCGTAGTACAATCAAGTCATCCCTCATCAATTACTTACTCCTGTGTTAAAAGTGATGAATACAACGTGTTAAAGACAAGGCACCTGTCCTCAAGGGAGCTTTAATCTCTACTATTAGCCTTTACTAGCAAATTACAGTGCAGTGCCCTTAGCAGCAAAATTTTCTCGCCAAAAGATTCAGTATTGTTAGTTTATTTCATAATGACCTGTAGTAAGTCATTAGTACTACTGGTCCCCTCCTCCCCCTAGTTTTGGTCAATTTTGTCCCGGCAACTTAGATTAAAATGTTGGGGGCTGGGGATAAGGACTAGGAACAGTTAAGTTTCAAGCCCATGGGTGGCAGAGAAGCCAGTGGCACGTGCTCCGGGCCTTGGAGCTCCGCGGAGACCGTCCTCACCGCCCACCCGCGGCGCGCGCCCCGCCGACCCCCGGGTTACCTTCCTCTCCTTGGGCTCACCGGGCTCCGGCGCGGCGGCCATGAGGACGACTCCGCGACTCCACCCGCCCTCACCGCCGGGGTCGCCGGAGCAGAAGCCCGGCCAGCCGCGCCCCTCCCCGTCCCGCCCCCTTGCGCCGCCGCCTCCCGCCCCGTCCCCACGCGCCGGCCGCCATTTTAGGGAACGTTCCTAATACTCCGCAGTGGCCGCACCGGGACGGGCTGGTGCCTGGGCTGTCATGTCCTTTGTTCCATCGAACGGGCCACATTTTCTTCCCAGCCCGGCACACAGCCTGCAGGGTCGGGAGCACGGAAGGAGAAGGGTTCGGAAAACAAACCGGCTCCCGGATTCCTGGCGGGGCGGGGGCGGAACCGAGCCAGAGAGCTCCGCTTCCCGCCCCAGCCCCCTCCTCCGCCCCAACCGCCATTTCTAACCGTCTTCTCTGGCGCGCGTGCTCACGTGCACGAGCCCCGGGCGCGCGCCGAGGGGCGGGGCCGCGTTGGAGGGAGCGGGCGCGGCGCCGCTGCTTTGTCCCGCGGGGTGGGCCCCGCTGCGGGGGTCGGCGCAGCCCACAGCCCGCCCCAGCCCACCGACCCGGAAGGCGCTCCGCGCTGGCTCGGCGGCCCTCGTCCCCTAAGTGTCCTTTGTCCTTCCGGCCACGGGACGAGCCTTTGGTGCCGGGGCAGCCCCACTCCGCACCAGCAGCCATTTAGTCCCCAGCGCCTGCCTCGCGCAAACGGGGCTCCCACGCCCACCCCACTTCCTCCCTTTTATAGTTTCATTACTAAGTGGCTTTAAAATAGCACGGCGCAGTTCGCCTAAAGGAGACGGGGGACAAAATGGAGGGAGCGGCTCGCTAATGAACTTGCGTCAGGACGTTGGTGTCCGCGGGGAGGGCGCGCGTGGGGCGAAGTCTTCCTGCGTCCCCGAGGAAAAATGCCTCTGCAACGTGCATTTTTGATGTGAAGTCGTGTTCCACGTTTCACTCTTCCCTACGACTGCGCCATAACGTGAAACAAAATACTGCATATTGGCGAGCTCAAATCGAGAACGCGTGCGTGCAGGGTCGAGCCCATTTTTCAGCCATCCAAATAATACAAAGCAATTTTTTCTAGTATTTATAATTTTTCCCCTTTAACTTTATGCCTCCTTTATGTACTTTTACATTTCACGTTCAGGTTATATGTATTTCAAAGGGCACTCTTGGGAGACTGGACTTGTAGAGTATGTCATTGTGCAAAGTCATGCTGCTTCGAACTCTGCTGCTCGCTGGCAGACAGCAAGCGCTCACTGTTAAACGATGTCGAATTCATAAGCACTGTTCATTGGGCGTATTCTTATTCCGTAACGACCTTACTTGCATGCCCATTTAATACCTTTCTAGATCCCAGTAAAATACACGGTGTAGGAGGTGTATGTGTCACAGTTAATTTTTTTAAAGTGAGGTGTGTGTGTGTGTGTGTGGGGGGGGGTTGGGGTTGTTTTTTGTTTTTGTTTCTGAAATTGTAGTTAGAAACTACATGCTGTGCCGGAACGCGGAGGCTCACGCCTGTAATCCCAGCACTTTGGGAGGCCGAGGCGGGAGGATCACGAGGTCAGGAGTTCGGGATCAGCCTGATCAACATGGTGAAACCTCGTCTCTGCTAAAAATACAAAAATTAGCCTGGCGTGGTGGGGGGCGCCAGTAATCCCAGCAACTCGGGAGCTTGAGGCAGTAGAATGGCTTGAAAACGGAAGGCGGAGGTTGCAGTGAGCCGAGATCGCGCCACTGCAGTCCAGCCTGGGAGAAAGATCGAAGGTCCGTCTGGGCGCGGGGAGAAACTACGTCCTGTTCTACTGTTTGCTAGGGAAAAAGAAGAGAGTCACCCTGCTGGTGATATCCTGCCAATTCTGGGTTCTCCGCTGAAATTCGAATGCTAACTATGCTTTGAACTCCAGATCTGAAAAACAGTGTTGAAGGTAGTAATATTCCGTGAAGGAGCGGGGAATTCTTTCGAAGTGGTTGTTGATTATGTTGTAAAAGGAAAACTGCAAAAGTACCAAGTAAAACACCACTGAGTCATCCTATTTTATTTTTATTGTGACTTTGAAACTTTGCTAGAGTAGACATTGTTGGGGTCCGTTTTATTTGCCTTTGAAAAGTATTTTCACATGGACGATTTAATTTTTTTTAATTTTTTATTATTTATTTATTTATTTATTTATTTTGAGACAGAGTCTCACTTTGTCGCCCAGGCTGGAGTGCAGTGGTGCAATCTCAGCTCACTGCAACCTCTGCCTCCCGGGTTCAAGTGATTCTCCTGCCTCAGTCTCCTAAGTAGCTGAGATTACAGGCGCCCGCCACCACACCCGGCTAATTTTTGTATTTTTGGTAGAGAAAGGGTTTCACTATGTTGGCCAGGCTGGCCTCAAACTCCTGACTTCAGGTGATACGCCTGCTTCGGGCTTCCAAAGTGCTGGGATTACAGGCATGAGCCACTGTGCCTGGGCTATTTTAAAATTTCTATTTTCACAAAATTGCATAATACTTCCATTTTTAATTAACAGTTATAGAATGGAAAGTAAAAATCTCTCTCAGTTCTTTCTCTCCTTTTTAAGGTAAATATAACAGTTTGATGTCTCTCTTTCTAAACTCTTCTTTTTCCTTCTTAAAAAAATTATTTGTAGAGATGGGAGGTGGGGGGTGGTGTCTCACTATGTTGCCCAGGCTGGTCTCAAACTTCTGGACTGAAGTGATCCTCCTGCCTCACCCTCCCAAAGTGCTGGGATTACAGACATGAGCGTTGGCACCCGGCTTTTTCTTTTTCTTTTCTTTTCTTTTTTTTTTTTGAGGCGGAGTCTCGCTCTGCCGCCCAGGCTGGAGTGAGTGGCGCGATCTAGGCTCACTGCAAGCTCTGCCTCCCGGGTTCCCGCCATTCTCCTGCCTCAGCCTCCCGAGTAGCTGGGACTACAGGCGCCGCCACCGCGCCCGGCTAGTTTTTTGTATTTTTTTAGTAGAGATGTGGTTTCACCGTGTTAGCCAGAATGGTCTCGATCTCCTGACCTCGTGATCCGCCCGTCTCGGCCTCCCAAAGTGCTGGGATTACAGGCCTGAGCCACCGCGCCCGGCCGGCACCCGGCTTTTTGGTAATTAAATATTATCACATGAGGCCAGGTGCGGTGGCTCGTGCCTGTAATCCTAGCATTTTGGGAGGCCGAGGCGGGTGATCAGCTGAGGTCAGGAGTTCTAGAGCAGCCTGACCAACATGGCGAAACCTTGTCTCTACTAAAAATACAAAAATTAGCCGGAAGTGGTGGCACACGCCTGTAATCCCAGCTACTTGGGAGGCTGCGGCAGGAGAATCGCTTAAACCCGGGAGTCAGAGGTTGTGGTGAGCCAAGATCGCACTATTGCACTCCAGCCTAGGCAACAAGAGCGAAACTTCGTCTCAAAAAAAAAAAGAAAAAAAAATTATCACATGAATACCTGTATTTTGTCTTCATTAAAACAACACTGGAATATATTGGGTAAATAATGAAAGGCTTTATGTCACACTTGCCTCCATGCCTATGTATACATATATCTGTATGTGATACATGCTGAAATGACACGGTACCACATCATTTGCGTTCAGTGACTTACTTTTTGCTATGTATCTGGGAATTTGTTTTATGTACGTACTACAGACTTACCCATTCATTTTAATGACTGCTTAGTAATCCTTTATTTTCTTTCTGATTGACATTTCTGAAAGTTTCCATTTTTTACTAATCCCCCAAAAATGCTTCAGTCAGCATCCATATGCATGCATATATGTGCACATGTTCAAGTATTTCTGTAGGGCAAATATCTGGAAATGCAATAACTGATTTAAAGGAGTACACACGATTTAAAATGTAATACATACTGCTAATTTGTCCTCCAAAAATACTATCAATCTACATTCCCCATCAACTGTATGGGAGAGTTACCTGTTTCCTCACCTTTTCAACACTGCATATGTTCACATTTTTTAATTTGGGGGAGGGTGGGCGTGATGGCTCAGGCCTATAATCCCCTTGCAATTTGAGAGGCCAAGGCAAGAGGATCTCTTCAGGTCAGGAGTTCGAGACCAGCCTAGGCAACAAAGCGAGACTCCTCCCAACACCAATCTCTGTCAAAAAAACAAAAACAAAAACAAAAAATTAGCTGGGCTCAGTGGCATGTGCCTGTAATCCCAGCTTTTGGGGGGTTTGGGGGTAGCTGAGGCAGGAGGAAGCATTGCTTGAGTCCAGGAGCTTGAGGACGCAATGAGCTGTGACTGTGCCACTGCACTCCAGCTTGGGCGACAGAGCACGACCCTGCCTCTGAGCTGAATCTGATGGGGGAAAATGGTATCTTACTGCTTTAAACTTTTCCTGGTTGTTACTGTGGTTGAGCATTCTTCCAAATGTTTATTGACCATTCTTTCTCTGAGAATTAACTTTCTATAGCTTTTGTGTGTTTAAAAATTTGGGGACAGCACTTTGGGAGGCCAAGGTGGGAAGATCACATGAGGTTAGGAGTTTGAGACCAGCCTGGCCAACATGGCGAAACCCTGTCTCTACTAAAAATACAAAAATCAACCAGGTGTGGTAGTGTGTGCCTGCAGCCCCAGCTACTCGGGAGGGTGAGACAGGAGAATTGCTTGAACCCGGGAGGTGGAGGTTGCGGTGAGCTGAGATGGTGCCATTACACTCCAGCTTGGGTGACAGAATGAGACTCTGTCTCAAAAGAAAGAAAGAAAGAAAATTGGTTGTGTATGTGATTTCCCTGTTAAAGCAGCTCTTTACAAGTATAGTTTTTAGTCCTGATATATGTAACGAATCTTTTCTGCTCTGCATGGTCACTTCTTTGTTGTTTTTGTTTATGGGTCTTTTATTTCTCAAACATTTTAACTCTTTTTTTCTTGCAGGATCAAATCTGTCCATGTTTCCTTTTATGGTGCTGAATCTTGTGTCTTGCTTAAGTAGGCATTCTTGACTCATAATGAAAACATACTTTCATGATTTTGAAAATAATCATCCTATACTCCCTTTCTCATTCATAATTTTGAATATTTTTTTCTTCTAAAAAGACCAACTTTTGGTTTTACTGTTTTTTAATTTCGCTT